ATTCCACACAACGAAGAACTAGCAACACGTATTTGTCTTGGTTATAGGCCCAAAATTAGATGCGAAGCTCCTCAATTACTTTTGGATCTGATGGATAAATGCTTAGACGCAGAACCTCAAAACCGACCAACTGCTGGAGAATTAGCTAATTCATTGATGCATTTTTTTTTAAATTTGAAAGATGAAAAAACTGAATTATATAAGCAAGTTAAAAATATTAAAGACTTAGACAAAAATTTCTTAACATATAATCAATTCAAATTGGCACAATTCAAATATCAGACACATCCACAAGCTATTTATACAAGTCGATTTCTGAATCTTTCCAAACTCCCTAAACCAGGTAATAACATTTATTCATATTTAAAAAATTTGTAATATTTTATCAATTGTAAAAATCTCTGAATCTGTTAATATAGTAAACGCAGGTAATTAAATTTATTTCTCAAATTGAATTCAAACTGTAGTTTTAGTGTATTTATATGTATATATTTTAGAAAGTCAACCTATTAATTGTGTTGAAGTTCTCGACGGTAAGTAATATTTGATTTACTTATAAATAACCAAATTTATTGCTTATTGTTATATTTGTATTTAGATTATTAAATTAAGCAAAAGGAAGTAATTGAATTGGGAATATTCTATTTTATTACAGTATTTCCATGCTACAATAATTCAGCAATTGTTATGTATCTTTATGTATGAGTACGTATCTTAAGAGAAAAAAAGATATATACCAATTTCGCAAACAACTGTTTTGCAGACAAAGTTGACCAATTTAAGTTAGGGTTGGCCTGACTTATAGTTTTTTGCTGACTAGATTATATAATAAAAATTATTAAATTTAAGTATATGAATTTATTAAACGAATATTGACATAATAAATATTAAAATTACCTTTATATTGTTGTTGGTGGTACTCTTGTTATCTTACGAATATATTTTTGAAAGAAAAGCTATAAAATTAAATCTAAATATTAAGCTCCGAATTTCAACAGTTCCTGTTTCCTAGTATAATCAAAATCAAAATTATATTTTATCTCGAAACTTGATCAATATTTTATAATTAATCCTCAAGATAATAATATCTAGTTAAAAATAAAATAAAGTGAAAATTAGCCTCTTTACATTTTCTATATGAAATTTAAATTCATTTAGCCATTATAAAGAGCTATATCAAAATATGTAAAAAAAAAAAACCTCTAAGCGAATTCAGTTTATATATATATGATGAAAAGTCATCTATATTCAATAAAATAGGTAGGTGAGAATAATTAAATATTAAATGTATAACCATAATATTTGGCTTATAATGCGAAAAGAGTCAACATCGAGTTTACATAGATAATAACGTGGATGCCAACCATATTTCGAGTTTGATTTCATCGATAGTATCAAACGCCATTTTCAAAATAAGATACTTCAAAAATTTTTGCCGTAAAAGGAAAAAAACATAGATAGTATAAAAATATGAAATAGCAAACTTTTTTTGTTATAAAAAGCCAATTAAATTGTAAGATAAGATATAAATGTTAGCTTATAGATCGCCATAAATTTAATCATTACCCTGAAAAATTTTTGACATTATACTTGACCGATATGAGCTAGGTGCGGACCAAATTGCCAATTTTTTCAAAAGAAATTTTTCAATAGAAATAAATTTAGAATAAGATTATGATCATTTTTTACTTAAGACTCGAAAGTAGTTGTATTAATAAAATTTTGTTATATTGCTCTTTAACGTTTGCATTTTCTTATGATTTATTATAAGATTTATAACATAAAAGTTGATTTTCCGAAGATCTTTTGTTTTGTCAATTTGGTCTCTTTTTACAGCACCTAGTCCATATGATCGTCGACCACTGTTCTTCAAGTGATCCTAATTTAAAGATACTGATCGACTCAAACTGCTCATATACTTGTTTATAATAAAAATGATTAATTAATAGTGTCGTACAAGCGATTAATATCTTTATGCCAATTAGATTTATTATCCGTTTTTTTAGCAGGAGAGTGGGTGCCAAAATATCATGCTAATTGTTTATGTGTAATCGTAATCATTTGAGGGAGGGGGAAAAATTTACTATTTACAAAAAATTAGCTGATAAATGACACTTCCCTTACTGTATAATAGAAAGCTTTTCAAAATTTCATAACATAAGATAACTATCGTCAATTAGCAAATAAAACCAAAACAGATGTTTTGAAAAATATTTTTTATTAAAAATTGTAGTAATTTCAGTATTTAACAATTTCTTGTCAATTTACTATCATTTGTTAATTATTCTAATACAAATATGGCTTTAACGTGATTTTGAACCGCTAATTTATTTGCAATTCTACCGCTAATCACTATGTGTTTTTACAGTTCTTTCTTTGAATTAAAATTTACTATAATACATATTGCATGACGTAGGTAGTGACGTATTGGTGTAACTACTCAAATTTTATATGACATGAAGGTGACGTAAAGAGGTAGCTACCTTTGACCTTTCAAATGTCTGCATCTATATTTATTACCAAACAACATTTGCTTTCTTATTACATAAATTCCAAACCGACTCAACAATGAAGCCAACTCTGTTTCCACGGGGAAAGTAATTTAAATTCATAAGGATTATGTTTTAGAGTATACATTACCTTCAGCAGCGTGCGCCTCATTAATGACTTTTGAAAACGATTAGGTTTGTATTGAAATAATACGAGGTGGAATGATTGTTGATATTACTGATTGATTGAGAGCCATTAGTCGAATTTTTATGTCGTTACATAGAGTTTTTTCAAGTATTTGTTTATATGGTTCTACGTTATTGTAAATATCGTCACAAAAGATTTGAAAGTAACGAAGATTGTATAAGCAATTTTTTAAGATTATGTGGTAAATCAGGAATCTGAGTAATTCCCATTTAATGACATAATTCCAAATTTTCACTTCTCCATTTGCTTAATCAATAAAACTGATAGAGGCTTCAAACTGACGTCTAATTTTAGACAAAATATTTATTTAAAAAGAAGTCACGTATAAATCATATTTTTAAAGTACTGTATATGTATATTTACATAATCACTTATCAGTAGATTTTTATCAAAAAAGATAATTTTGTCACCAGCTACTAAGGTGTCTGGCACACCAAAAAAAATTTGGCATGCCACAGGGCATGCCTTTTGTTAAAATTTGTACCATGGCATGCCTTTTGGCATGCCATAAAATATTATATATTATTTATAATACCATATATAGTTTGAATATTAGAAATATAATTTTTATGCTATACTCAGTGGCATGCCAAATTTGTTTTTGGCATGCCTTTGCCACTATGCCAGGCACTCTACCAGCTACGCATATTTAATATTTGAATCGAAATTTTAAATCAGAAAATAGGATTTTTAAACTCCCACATATTTTTGAAATAAGTTAATTCTGAAAAATCTAATTTATTTTCTTGAAACGATGCAAAGTCATCAGTCATCGCACTAGTTTTGTAATTCTTGAAGAATATTATTTTTTTTCGGTAAACAAGAATGAAACGCAAATGAAGCCAGTGAGCTTCTTTAATAAAATAAGCTTCGAAGTATTTAACTAATTATTCAAGAAGAAACATGTATACAACAAGCATAGTTTTAAAAGTAAATTATATAGTAAATCAAGAATTTCCAATGAAATTATGCCCCCGTGGATATACTTTAATAACACAAGGTTCTTCCAAAATAGTAGATTAGACCCGAGTGCAATCCACGGAATCTTATTAACCATAAATACAAAGTGTGTAACACTTTAAATTTATTTTCGCGTACAACTTTTGAGTTGTGCCCTAGACCCGGGTCTACTAAAGGTTTTAAAATTGGTGAAATAAAATAGACCTTGGTCTAGTAAATACGCACTTTTACAGCACTAATGGTAATAGTAACGGTAATCAATTTTATAAAAGGCAATATTAAATTCATTATTATATAATTACTAAAAGTAATTAAAGTTACAGTATATAGCAATACAGTATATATCGTGTATAGTGTAATAAATTTCATAGGTCATAATGTTATAATCTGTATTTAGCCAACAGGTCGTACCTATTTCTGTATATGTGAACAATGACCGTGTATCTCTTTATCCGTATCGGTATGATTGATTCTTTCAAAAAGCCATATATGTATAACTTTTAGTTTTTAATCTGCGTATAGCCGGCTAAAATTCTGCCTATAACAGGATAGCCTAATATATGTTTAGATAACTCTGCAAATAACGGATAAACTGAAAACAAGTTTAAAAATTATCACATGTATAATACAAACGCATTACGCGAATTTGGTTATTAAACGAGCATCTTATCAAATGTCGAATTCCACTTGCATAAGGTGGCATTACTTAGGAATAAGATAAATTTTATCAAACGCCAAAGAATGCGAACAATTTGATTTGCACTGATAAGAATTACCGTAATAAAAAAAAACACCCATATATATATACGAAGTTTGACTATTTTCGCTTACAATAAAAAAAATAGTGCTGTAAGTTAAAAATAACAAATTCTTGATAACGCCCGCACAACACAAGTTAAATATAATATTATGGTGGAAATTAGAAATATATTATTAATAGGTAGCGCTGGTAAAGGAAAGTCTACTTTAGCAAACGTTTTAACTGAAACTAATGAATTTGAAGAAAGTGAAGGTCGCATTCATGGGACTAAAGAATCAAAATCTAAAGAATTTGAATACGAAGGAATAAAATATCAAGTTATTGACTCTAACATGTAACAGACGAAATATTAAGTAAATTAGAAGACAAAACTGATGTTATTAGTATAGGTTTAAATCAAATATTATTTGTTACTAATGGCCGTTTTACACAGGAGGAAATTGAAGCTTTCAATTTACTTAGCAAAGTTATTTTTGATGATAAAGTAACTGATTATATTACTATTATTTGCACTAACTTTCCCAATTTCGAAAATTGTGAAGCATGTGTAAAATATTTTGTGAGGAAACTAAAAAATTTTCAGAACAACTTGCTCATACCAAAATTATCTATGTAGATAATCCACCGGCAAAAGGCCGTTATTTGTCAATTTCTAAAGGATCAAGAGAAGAATCTCGCAAAAAATTATTAACACATTTAAAAACTTGGCAAGAAGTTTACCAACCCGAACTACTAACTAAATTTATTAAAATGATTTCCGAGTTCAATTTAATTATAGATGATATTTAAAAAGCAATTAATGTCGCAGATCATAATGAAATCGGATTAAAATGAAACTGGCGACCTTTCTTGCTCATCTTTAAAGCTTATGAA